TTAAACTTTAAAAAAATACACCATCATAGTTCCTGAGTAGTCATCTGTGAAAGATTGTGCATATCTGTATCCTTCCATACTTGGAGTTGGCATGGGACCGGCGAGGTCAGTATGGACTAGTTCTAAAGGTTTCTTTGCCTTTCTGTCTGGTTTCCTACTCCTTGTCTCAGGTGCAAATTTTCCTTGTGTGCACACTTCACATAACTGTGCTGGTTTAACTGCGCTCCCTTTAATTTCCATACCTTTCACTACACCTTGTAGCCTTTGTACATTCTCATAATTACAATGGCCCAAAATTTTTGGATTGTATGTCATGACACCCTTTACATTGGTCAACATTTTCTTCAACAGTAGACAAGTAATATAAATTTCCACTCTCGTGGATGTCAAACCTGCTATCGTCTTCGGTGGTCATATGACTGTCATCCTTCTTGAAGGTGATTGTTGCTCCTGCATTTGCTGCTCTTGCCACAGAGAAGATGTTGTGTGGGTATGAAGGTATGTACAGAGCATCTCGTAGTTGTGCTCTTTGTTGACCTCCAGCACTGTCGAGAAGACATATCATCACTGTTCCTCTCTGTTGTGCTATTCCACTGCACTTGGTTCCATCAGCTAATTCTACAGAATGTGCTGCAGGCTGGAATGAGTCATTAAAGTTTTTAAATCTATCGATGTCATTAGTTATATGTGATGTTGCTCCTGCATCCACCAAACTGCCAGTCTTTACATTACTTTGCAGCTGTTCGTTCTTTATGTGTTCAGCTTTGAACAGATAGTCTTGGTCACAGTCTGCTTTCTCCATGACGTTTCTGACATCATCCTGTGACCCCTTTTTCTTACAAAGAGTTTCTTGATGTGTGTTATTTTTGCAATAGCTACACCACACTTTTCGGAAACATTTTCTGGCCTTGTGTCCTTTAACACCACACTTGTAACACGTCACGGAGGTATCTCCATCTTTTCTGTAGTGAGTGTATAATTTCGTAGGGGCTTTACCTTGTCTTACATGTGTTTTCATCACATTGTCTGTAGATCCTGCCGTACTAATTTTCTCAGACTCTTCATAAAACCTGTCTTCTTTTAAAGTCTGTGAATGTAACATCATCTTCATTTTGTGTTACATGTACAGCTAAAGGCTTGAAGGAATCTGGTAGCCCTCCTAATATCATGGCTATGGTCAGGCCATCACTGAGCGTCTCTCCAGCATCTCTTAGAGCTGTGATCGTATTTTCTGCCCTTATAATGTATTCTGTGACGATTTCATTGTCTGCCATGCATAACTTGGTTAGAGTTGTCCACAAATTGATTATCCTAGGCTTGCTTTTTCCAGAATAATGTTCTTTCAGGAACCTCAAAACTTTCCTACCATCATCAGCGGCATCGTGTCTTATTAGCGACAAGCTTTTATCATCAATTAGCCTTATCAGTTCTGCATAACAATCTGCATTATTTCTTGCATCTTCGGTTAGCTAAGCGGCAGTATCATCGATAGGAGGCTCGTTTAAGATAGTTTGCTTTAGTTTTAACGTGTGTAAATGGCCTAGGAATCTTGTTTCCCTTAATTTATACTTATCTTCAGATCCGTCGAAGTACAGATGCGGTGCAAGAACTCCCGTTGCTCTGCTTGCCATTTTGTTAGCTTTCGTTTGCTGCTAATTTTCATTAATTTCCACGTTATATAGCGGGTTATAGTTCTTCCACATATGCTTCACTTCTATGCTTCTCCAAGCTGGTTTAGACAGTTAAAAGTTTTACAGCAAACTTCAGTGGAATTAGCTTTTACCTCGAACATGTTCACTTCAGCGCCTGGGCCCATAACCTGTTAAAGCAATTAAGCGCACAGCTCTTCCAAGCTTTCAAAGGATGAA